ACACACACACACAGAGAGAGAGAGAGAGAGAGAGAGACAGACAGACAGACAGACAGACAGACAGACAGACAGACAGACAGACAGACAGAGAATCCTTAAGATAAGTTAGCAAAGAAACATCCTGGGCAGGGGAAATAGCTCAGTCAGTAACGTACTTGCTGAACAATCATGAGGACCTGAGTTAATTCCCAAGAACCCACATGATAACCAGGAACAGATGTATGAATTTATAATCCCAGTGCTAAAGTGACAGAGACAGGGGGATTCCTAGGACTTGCTGGCCAGCCAATCTAGCCTACTGAGCAATCCCAGACAAATGAGAAACCCTGTCTCAAAAATAAGGTAGAGAGTATTGAGGAAATACACACACACACACACACACACACACACACACACACACACACACACACACACACTATACCCATCATTTCAGTAATCTCAACGAAGCCAGTTTTCAAGACTAAATCCTACCTCTAGGGCCCCTGTGGCATCCAAGAATCTGTCCTTCCAGTTTTTGCTTCTTCTAAGCTTCAGGAGGATGGAAAGTTGTGTTAATGAGAGAAGTGAGATAATGGAGTCTTACATGAACTTTGGAAAGTTGGCTTGCACAGCCTCATCATAAAGAGGATTCCAATCAACAATTTTGTTGTTGTTGTTCAGAATGAATGTGTAGGCTGGAGTCTGTTCCCAGGCCATAAGTCAGCTTTTGTTTTTTCCTAACTGGGTGTGCTAAGTGAAGTTAACCTTAAATGGTAGTCACTCTTTTTTTATTTGCTGTTTTATGCAAGTCTTCGCTAAGCCTTTCTTACTGAATTCTTAGATGTTTATTCAAGATTGACGTTTCCACCACTCTACCGTCCAGCAACTGTGCTGGCACCGCACGGACCTGGCAGCTGGCCATGGTAGCAACATTAAGATTACCTCCTCCCAGGAACTCATTAAAGCTGTATTTGATGGCGTCAATTGGAGTCATTCCACATTCATCCAACAGGTATTTATAGAGCTCCTACTCGGAGCATAATGAAGAATCTCGATGGCAGCGAAGACATGATTTCCCATTTTCCATCTATTTAAAAATCTTTTTGGTTATTTATTTCATATGAATGAGTGTTTGCCTGCATGTATGTTTGTGCACTGCCTGCATGTCTGGCACTTCAAGGGAGTAACGGATGGCTGTGAGCTGGCCGCGTGGGTGCTGGGAATTGGAGTCCGGTGTTAACAAAAGAGCAGCAGGCACACTCACCTGCTCAGCCATCTCTCCGGTCCTTCATCTCCTAGTCTACCAGCTGAGCATGAAATTCCACCCCTGGCTGAGGAGCAATGCTCAGCCATCGCTAGCTTCCCAGAAAGGAATGGTCAGTTTTCTCTAAATGTGTAGCCCATGATGAGTTCCTCATACTCCAGTGGAAGTCCACACATTAAAGAATATTTGGGCAATTGGCCGTGATGGGGAAGAATACACAAAATTGGGTGGGAAGGGAAGGGGAATGGATCTGGGAAGAGTTGGAGTAGGGAGGATGAATAGGATTAAAATCCGTTATACAAAATTCTCAAACAACAATTAATAAAGAAAAAAGGAAATGATACAGTGTGCAACGGGAACAGAGAGCACAGAGATGACGTCAGAGAACACAGAGATGCCGTCAGCACGGTCTGGGATTACGAGCTGCAGAGACATGGTGAAACCAAGTTCCAAGTGACTCTTAAGTCTCTAGCTTTGGTGGCCAGCTGTGGGTTGGTGTTGTACCCGAATATTGAACAGTGAGGGAGGACAAAAAGACGGTTGGGAATCTACAACTGGATAACCAGTTCAAAGATTTCCAGAGGGATCACAGTCCAAGAGCTGGAAGTCATGGGCTGGAGAATTTTATCTTGTGGATGACAGTTGAAGTCCTGAGTGGACAGGCTTGCCTGGAAGTGTCCTGAGATAAGCGACAAAAAACGGGGACAACAATATGGGTGGCCAATAAGACCTGCACAATGGCGATACTAGTTAACATGCCAACAGGATGGGCAACACTAGTTAACGTGCCAACAGGATTGGGGACACTAGTTAACATGCCAACAGGATTGGGGACTCTAGTTAACATGCCAACAGGATTGGGGACACTAGTTAACATGCCA